GAGAGGAGAGATTGAAGAGAGAGAGAGAGAAAGAGCGAGAAAGAGAGAGAGGGAGAGAGAGAGAGACCATAGGAAGGTTAACAAAATAATAAATGATATGAAGAAAAAAATATATAATAAAAAAACTAAGCTTAAGGTCGATTTAATGTAATTTTATTTTAAAATAACCAGAAAAAAGTTATAAGGCCCAAAAGATTTATTCAAAGATTTTAGTTATTTTTGTTTGTAACTTTTTTTTCAATTTTCGATTAAAAGTTATATAAATAAATACAATTTAATTTGCTATAAATAATGTTTTATAAAATTTTCACTCTCCTTTACACTCCTTATTTCAAGATGGCGAGTATTCAAGGACCCAATCAACATTGGAGCGCTGCAAAAACTAGAAAATGAATGAAATTAAACAAATTTGTAGTGAAAATTACTCTATGATATTGCTCTGATATCATTTTATTTATTAACGGAATCCATTTACAAAAGTTTTCACACAGCTACACAACCATCCATTTTTTTTAAATTTATTGTTTTTTTTTAATTATTGTTTTATTGTAAAATCGCTAGAAAAAGTTATAAGCGAAAAGCACAATAGAAAAATTTTTCAAAATTTTTTAGTTATTTTGGTTTATAACTTTTTTATTTTTTATTTTCCGATAAAAAGTAATACAGATAAAGTTGTAGAAAATTTAATTTGGTAAAAATAATGATTTATAAAATTTTCTGTAGAGTTGCTAATTTACGAGATACAGCGCAAAAACCCTTTGCCTCTCTTTTTCCAAGATGACGGCCTGGGAACAAGGGTTGCGACTTCACAAACTTGAATTGAAGTTTATACTCACCACCCCCACATATCAAAAAAATTAAATTGCGTCCTTTCAAAAATCTAATCTCAATGTAACTTTTCAATTGAATAAAAAATAAGTAGCTTATTCTATACGAGTATATAAATAGAAATACGTGTTCGTTTATTAAAAATTTCAGTGTCGAAGTAATTTCTGTGAAACAAAATATCCTCGTTTATTTTACTAAATATATACACTGTATACCAATACATTTTCCAACACATAAAAATTAACGATAACATCACCATATGAACGTAAACAATCTTACTCTGTAATTTGAGCCAGATAAAATGATTCAATAGTTGAACAACACTGTTGCCAGCTAAGTCGAGTCTGTAATATGGCAATATGGTTTAACACATAAGTGATATACACATTCAGTATACTCATAAAAGCGCTCTCCACGGCAAATGGCTGAATTAAAGGCGACTTTACGGACTCATTTTGTTTTATAATTTGCAGCTATTCTATAATACCCACAATTTTTGTAATACATTTGTGCAGTAGGTAGAGGTCTCTAGTTTCTCATTCAATAAAATTTTGGTAGAAAATAACAATCAGTTAAAAGAAATACATGAAAAACTTTACGGACTCTGTATATTGAGTCCATAAATCGCTCGAGTCCGTTGTGTATGGTAAAAACCTTAATGCAGAGTCTGCAATGTTAGGAGGATATATATATATATATATATATATATATATATATATATATATATATGTATATATATATATATATATATATATATATATATATATGTATATATATATATATCTATATATCTATATATATATATATATATATATATATAATATATATATATATATGTATATATATATATATATATATCTATATATCTATATATATATATATATATATATATATATATATATATATATATGTATATATATATATATATATATACTGTGTTGTTTGTATATATATATATATATATATATATATATATATATATATATAATATATATATATATAGTAAACTCTTAAATATTGGGGAAATCTGCAAAAAAAACTCTAATGTGTATCAATTATTTCACCTAACATTTTCGCTAAAGAGAATTTGGCTTCTTCAGGGCTGAAAGAGAATAAATTATAATTAGCTACCATATATCATCTAATAAAAAACATTTACCTTACCGTGAAATTTTAGAAATGTCGAGTTATGATGTTAAAAAACTTTAGCTAGTAACAACATAGTGGTGTTTTTTTTTGTTACTATGTGCAAAAAAGTTTATTTGTTAACGTTGGAAATGTATGGTAGCTTTGAACTTAAAACGCAAAGGTTTACCCAAGGACAATCGAAAAACCCAATGTAACTACATTTAAAGGAAGTAATTCTTTGAATTGTCGGCAATAACTAAATTTTTAATTGTTGTAAAGTTTGAATGCGAGCTTTTGTTTTCATAGAACGCAAGCGCCGAAACAATTACAAGTAGACTTTTGATATCAATGTCGTTAAGGTTCATTGGTAAAACCGATGAAGTTAGATCCCAGTCTGGGGAGATATTAGTTTAGAATTTTCTTAATTGAAATTCTTTTTTTTAATTAGTATATTGTTCATGTATTATTGTAATAATATCTTATTGAGATGTATCTAAGAAAAGCAAGGGAATGTTATCTTTTTTTGTTAATGAAAATTATTATTAAAGTAGGTTAGTTGTTAATAGATATATCAGTCAAGTTGGTTATCTGTGATGTTGTATTGTTCTTGGTATCTGATTTAAGTAAGAAGTGGTATATATCGCTTAGATTCTTAATGTCACTCTTAACATTGATGGAAAAATCGTTAAGGAAAATATAAGACATTTCAATGAACTCTCTTTTAGATTTATTGTTCTCACGGTGGAGAATTGTAGTGTTCGTATAGTCCATGTGATGACCAGTGGAATGGACATGTTTGGCTAATGCACAGCGGTCAGGGTGAAGTCTAAGTATTACACTACACAAAAGTGATTCTCGACTTCACCCTGACCGCTGTGCATTAGCCAAACATGTCCATTCCACTGGTCATCACATGGACTATACGAACACTACAATTCTCCACCGTGAGAACAATAAATCTAAAAGAGAGTTCATTGAAATGTCTTATATTTTCCTTAACGATTTTTCCATCAATGTTAAGTGTGACATTAAGAATCTAAGCGATATATACCACTTCTTACTTAAATCAGATACAAGAACAATACAACATCACAGATAACCAACTTGACTGATATATCTATTAACAACTAACCTACTTTAATAATAATTTTCATTAACAAAAAAAGATAACATTCCCTTGCTTTTCTTAGATACATTTCAATAAGATATTATTACAATAATACATGAACAATATACTAATTAAAAAAAAAGAATTTCAATTAAGAAAATTCTAAACTAATATCTCCCCAGACTGGGATCTAACTTCATCGGTTTTACCAATGAACCTTAACGACATTGATATCAAAAGTCTACTTGTAATTGTTTCGGCGCTTGCGTTCTATGAAAACAGAAGCTCGCATTCAAACTTTACAACAATTAAAAATTTAGTTATTGCCGACAATTCAAAGAATTACTTCCTTTAAATGTAGTTACATTGGGTTTTTCGATTGTCCTTTGGTAAACCTTTGCGTTTTAAGTTCAAAGCTACCATACATTTCCAACGTTAACAAATAAACTTTTTTGCACATAGTAACAAAAAAACACCACTATGTTGTTACTAGCTAAAGTTTTTTAACATCATAACTCGACATTTCTAAAATTTCACGGTAAGGTAAATGTTTTTTATTAGATGATATATGGTAGCTAATTATAATTTATTCTCTTTCAGCCCTGAAGAAGCCAAATTCTCTTTGACGAAAACGTTAGGTGAAATAATTGATACACATTAGAGTTTTTTTGCAGATTTCCCCAATATTTAAGAGTTTACTATTTAACTTATCTGCAAAGATTAAATTTCTTTTCTTGTCTATATATATATATATATATATATATATATATATATATATATATATATATATATATATATATATATATATATATATATAAGCAATATATGAATTTTAAATTATAATATATTACTTACCTGTAACTCAATTTGTCTCAGGTTGTATTCTTGTGGCTCAGTATCTCTCTTGTTGTATTTGCTAGTAAGAGGACAAAAAGGAAATCTAAATTTCACCAATATATTGTATATAAAAGAATATCAAATGTAAAATAACATCAAATTTATGACATCTAAATTGTAAAAATCCAAACATACAAATATGATCCTAACATGTTCTTTAATTCTAGGAACCAAATAAGAAAAACTGTTTCTATCCACAAACCAATAACTTTTCAAAACACCTCTATCTCCCTATGACTGACTGACACTATCTATGCATTTGCTTGGTTAACAAATTGTGTGAATGGGTGTATATATTCTAACTTTTTTCCTCATAACAATAGTTAGATTCTGTGTTGACATGGAAATTTTTATTTCTTTTAATATTCTTAATGTTTAATAAACCTAGCAAAGAATGTCTCATATTTAAAAGATAAAAATTAATTAATAAAATAAAACAGTAAATACCATTCATAGGTAAATTGCGATTTATAACAGAAAATTTCCTCTTTGAATTTCCTCCGTCTGAAACGATTTCTTTATAATGTTTCATCTCCATATCAAAGTACATATGGTAACAGTAGGTATCTTCCTGAAGGAAGCTGATAACTGATTATCAGTTGATCTGAGGTGGTATTAAAAATTTTAGTGCATTTAATACTGACTTAGACCAACACATATAGTCAGGGCACCCATGAAGGATATAAAAACCACCACCTGCAATATTTTGTCATTAAAAACATTAATGGCTTTAACATTCTCATTATTTTATTCTTTTATATTTGTGTAAGCTTATTTATCATTTCTTCTAAAATATCTTTCTTCCTATATACAAAATTCATATTTGTTTCTGTGTGTATTATTGATAGACTGAGAAAAAATTATTGAATTTTTCTATTCACTTCATGTTTCATGAGGCTGTAAAAGAAGTACACATATTTTACGGATTCATCTGTAATAAAATAAAATAATATAGTTAAAAAAAATCACTAATTAAGATGAAGTCATTTTATTTTGTTTAGAGCTATGTTTCTAATACTGGACATTATTTTTATTTCAGGTGACAGTTGGCAAAGGGATGAAAGTATAATGTTTAAACATGTAGACACAGATATGTATCTGTCCGTATCAGGTAGAACTTTTGGTAGACCAATTAATGGTCAAATGGAAGTAATTGGAGTACGTTCATCTACAGGATCTGTACATTGGCAAACAGCTGAAGGTGTATTTTTACATGCTCCAGATTTATCTGCTAGACATATGCACTCAGTTCATTCTGAGCTATGAAACAAACAATTAGTTACAAGTTTTTTAATTTATTTTTTAATTTTGTTAAAAGTGTGAAAATGTTTGTAATAAATAAGTGGTTAGATAAAACTTATATGTATGTATCTAATCAGCCATTGATGTTAATTGCTAGATAGAGTCCTATCCTTTCTTCAATTTCTCGTTAGCTTGAACAATTGAGATTCATCTTATTATATTTTTGAGTTCATCTGACTGTGGCAGACATTAAAACTGATGAGATAGCGGCTGTAACTTTATTCCGCTTACTGAGACAGTCCGAAACTGTCCCGTGAGTAGAATACGGTTACTGTCGTTGAAAGATCTGACTTAAAAGATCAAGAAGAAATAAGTTGAGATCACAGTGTATGAAATCGAAACCCATCATACTGCATATAATAAGTTTCTCTAGCGACTGTGACTACATGGCGCTTAGTGTGAAATATATATATCGCCGATATTAAGTTCAAATGTATTTTTTTTTAACTTTTCCAAGTGTACCGTAGATTGTTATTAACTAATAACTTATAACTCATAGATAGAATCCATTTATCCTTGTCAAAATATTCTTACTTAAGGTACGTGAAGATTTAAAGATTAAAAAGCTTTTTACAGAATTGCAATTTATTTCCGTTAGATACGCCCAAAAAAATTTTACTCAAAGCCTTGTTAATAAGAATTTCCGGCCGACTTGTTAAACAAAAGTACATTTGAACTTGAAAAATTATATAAAATTGAATAAAAAAGGTTTGGTGTAGTAGAAATGCAAATAAGAAATTAGTCAGTTTATGCTATGCTTATAGGGGTAAACCGCTTGCCCAATATAGCATACTATTGTATTGTTAAATTGCTGAACTCTAATATGATTTTCATATGACTTTAAAAATTGAATAAAACCATTGATTTGTTTATGATTCTTGATTATATAAAAGTATTCATAGTCCTATTGGATTGAATTATCTCCTTAATTTTTATTTAAATTTTTCAAAAACATACAGGTTTATTTCTGTAGAAGTATGACTTGTAAGTTGCTACATACAAATAAGGGCCCTTTTTTTTAAATTTCAAAAATTCACAATTTATTTTAAAGTCAATGTTACACTACATGATTTATCATATGACAATATCATTTTATTTATTTATTTATCTATTTATTAACGGATATTTACATTGGAACAAAATATAATATATAAAATTTTACAAAGTAAGCAATAATTGGAAACTAATTAATAAAGTTTAACAAAAGCTAATAATTAACTTGAATACAAACTAATATCACACAAATAGCAGTCTCTTTATCGCATTTTTAAATTGTTCTAAGGACTGGAAAAATAAGTCCAGATCACTTCGGTACCTATTAATAGTCTCACCATATGAGTAAGAGGCTTGAAGTATTCATAATTAAATTGATGAAATGGTAGATGAAATAATGAAGTATGCCTAGTTCCATGAAGAGTGTTAAGACCTAATCGATTTAAAAGTTCAGGGCCATTTATCAAATTATTAGCAATTTTGTAAAGGAATATTAGGCAAAAATAATCTTTTCGCCAATTCATAGAAACCATTTTCAAGTGATCAGCTATCATACTATAACTGTATGGGACAGAGAGGTCATGAAAAGCACTAAGGTAATGATAGTGTTTACCAAATTTATGCTAAACACGATCAAGCTTGTCTATAGATGTTTGATAGTAAGGTCCCCATACAACTATTGCATATTGTAGTCTGGAGCGAATGAGACTATTAAAAAGAATTGGTAAAACAAAACATGAAAATTGATAAGTGTTTCTAGTTATAAACCCTAATTGTTTAAATGCACTGTTTACTGTGACCTCTAGATGCTTACGAAATCCTAATTTACAATCAAAATAAACACCTAAATCCTTAACACAGTCTTGCCTAGACAGATGAGTGTTATCAATGCTATAATCGTAATTTAAAATTGTTTACTTCCTGTGAAAAGTAATAACACAACACTTGTCAATGTTCAATTTTAATTCATTTAGTTTGTACCAATCGCTAAATCTGCTGAGATCCTCTTGTAGCTGAATTTGATCATACTGACAAGTAATGACTTTATAATTTTTTTTATCATCAGCAAAGTTGAGAAATTTTGAATTCTTAATGACTTTCTCAACATCGTTAACAAAGAGGACAAAAAGTAGAGGACCACAATGTGACCCCTGTGGTACTCCAGAGAGGACGTCAACAGATTGAGACAACACACCATTTATCTTAATGCTCTGGGTGTTACCCACAAGAAAACTATCATACCAATCAAGCCATTTGCCAGCTATACCAATGGCTCCTAATTTACTGATTAAATAACGATGATTTACTTTATCGAATGCCTTTGAGAAGTCAGTATAGATGCTGTCCACCTGGTATTTCCTATCAAATTCACCCAATATATCATCTTTGTAGACTAACAAGTTTGACACTGTTCTCCTCCCCCTTTGAAAGCCATTCTGTTTGGTATTATTATATTTGTTAGTTTTGATAACTAAGTCATTAGTTTGTCGAGAAGTTTAGGGATTGCTGACTGTATACAAAAATCCTCGGTATTTTTCAACATCTTTCCTTTTACCTGACTTAAAAATGGGTATAATATAACTGTTCTTCCAGAAAGGAGGGAACTCACCAGTCATAAAAGATAAATTATAAAGATATTCTAGGGCATAGTAAGAGAGCATAGACAGTGCTTTAATAATACCGGTGGGATTCCATCAGGCCCCGAGGAGAATTTGTTTGGAAATTTTCTTAATTCATCAAACACTGATATAGTGTCAACTTGAATTGGTTTACAGGGTCAATGTGTCTGACACAGTTTTCAAAATCTGGAATGGGAGCACCGTTATCTTTCTCCTATACACCAGATAATATACCTTTATATGAGATTGGTTATGATTCCTCGTTTCTATGATGTTTTAAAAAATCATGTTTACAATAATCAGTTGTGACTTCTATGAGTAACAATGAGGTTATGTTGATTTTTTTTTTGTTTAAGGTGATAGATATTAGACAGAGTATATTGATGCTTAAGATGTGATACCGCGTATCTGCAAAAACCTCTTTTTACAGGAGATGCAAAAAACGTTCTGTTGTGTGAGAATTAAATAATATTAATACTATTTTATATATTTTTTTGTACATTGGATCTCACAAGTATCATTTCTTTTAATAATTTGTAAAACTATAATCTCATTAACAAAAAGCTGCAGATACGTATCACTATTGTTTAATTGTTGGTTAGATGAGGGTTACGTTTAATCACTACCAAATGTAAATTTTGTTATTTGTGTGGGACAAGGAAATTTATTGACTTAAATATTTACTCTCGTGAGAAAAGGTGTCTTAGAAACCATGACAGTCTTTAAAAATTACACTTTTAAGTTGCTTAAGTGATTATATTTTGTGTTGGTTATTTTGATAGAAGCGTTACGTAATGGTTTAAACTGGCCTAGTTGTGAAATATTGGTCTTTGCACTTCTAGGGTTTCTTGTAGGTAGATCTCTAAACTCACCACAATAATCTAATTTTACTTGGATGATTCCATCAGGCGTATACTTGATGACATTAATATCAGTTACGGTTGGATCATTTACTTTTCGACCTGGTCTAATGGAAGGGTATACTAAAGTTTCGGAAAAATTTTTGATAAACTCATTGATAAGGTGACCTCTTTTGTCTGGTATGGTGTTTGTTTCCTCGACTCCTTTGTGAGTCTGATATAGTCACTTGGAAGATAAATAGACTTATATTTTACTGTCTTTTCTATTTGAGCGTGAACGGAATCGGCCTCCATTTGTGTGTGGCCACGCTCAAGATACTTTTGGTAGATAATAACATTGTTTTCGACACTAAAAGATAGAAGCGCATTTGACAATGTAGCATTCCTATTCTGATAGGTGCAATCATCGCTCTAAATAATAATAGGAATATTTACAGGACAGAGGTCTGACAAGTAATCAGTGATACAAGTTGCGGATAGGTCTGCTTCTGTTTCTGTAAACCAGTGGCATCTTACATGATGAGTATTAACATTAAATATGGTAAAGTTGTGACAGCAAAGTTTTGTTTTATAGTATAAAGCCGATGCATTTAACATGGGAGATACTTTTACTTCCTGAAGATCTTGTGTTAGGACAATGCATTGTTTTACATGTCCTGACTGTTTGTCGTTCTCCTTTTCTTGCCTTGCTTTTTCTTTGTTGTTAATGTGCTCCTTATAGACATTCTCATCTAGATTATTTGTTTCATAACTGCAGCATATGTATCACAACGATCTTTTTTTGGTATGTGGAAGGAAATATGTTTTTCTTTTACCATTAAATCAAAAGTGTATCTTGAAATTGGTTTCAATTCCTTATTTTGTTGACGGCACATTCTGGAATATTCCTGGTATACTTTGCTCATATTGTCTCCAAAAATAGGCTCAATATATAATTTACTTGTAGATTTGCGACAATAGTGAGCAGTGAGTTTCGGAAGAGAATCTAAAAAATTACGAAATACATCTTTGGCGCTGTTACTGGACTTATTGCATTGTTTCTTTTTGGATCTCTGCTATTTTTCTCTTCTCTCTTCTTCTCTCATTATGTACCTCTGTTGCTGTTATTATTCCATGCTTTGTTTCTGATGTCAAACAGTTAAATACGTAATGTTCTGTAAGAGGAAACGTTGACAAAAATAACTTTTTGCAGAAAGAGAGAGGAAATAATGAGAGGAAGAAATATAGAGGGACAGAGAGGGCGCCAACTACTTTTTAAATAAAAAAGATAGTAAAAATTAACTGAAGATAAACAAATTAATAAATTAATAAAGAAATTAAAATGAAATAATTATTTAAATATAAATTAATAGAGATGTGACGTTTATAACGTTACAGTGTTAAGGTTACAATGTTACAAAAGGATTGCAAGGTGATAAAAAACATCAACACAAGAAAGCTGGAATATTTAGGTCACATTACCGAAGGTAGAAATAGCAATATAGAAGTCAATCATATTCTGTGCAAAATAAAAAATTGTATAGAGGTGAACTAAATAAAATCACTATGATCTACTGTTAGATCGCATACTTTTTACAATTAAAAATTTTCTGAGGACTTT